TTGGCGGTGTGGGACCGGCGGTGCTGGGCTTGGAAGAAGGCATTCTGGTGCCTTCTGGGGAGAGGACGTGGAGATTGAATGCAGTCATGGAGTGTGTAGACTCCGGGTATAGCTGTGTATCTTCTGTTGGCTTAAGGAGACATGTTAGGAAGTAGGAGAGCACTTCATAGGATCCCAAAATCCCAGGTGGTTGGTTGCAAAGGACCTTAAGGATCGCAGAACCATGGAATCCCAGAATGGCTGGCTTGGAAGGGACCCCGAAGCCCCCCACCCCACCCCTGGGCCGGGTGCCCCCACCAGCTCAGGCTGCCCAGGGCCCACCACAGCCTCGGGCACCGCCAGGAGGAGGGACGCCCACAGCTCTGTTTGATGAAGCTGAAACCACCCTGGGGTTGCAGAGGAGCTGCAGGTTGGGTCCAGCCTCAGTGCCGCAGCCCAGTGCACACCACAGTGGCCATCTGCCATCTGCCATCCACTGTGTCAGTCTGAATGTTGGTCCCAGGCAGGGGCTGACCGCTGCCAAGCAGGACAGCATGGGGAGCCCCGGTGTGCTGAGACATGTTGGACCTGACCAAGGGGTGGCTGCAGGCTGAGGGGGTTCCTGGCTCCCCAGTTCCCCCATGTTCCCTTATGGCCGAAGGTTCAGCCTTGGCTCCAGCAGGATTAGCTCGCAGCACTTGGCACAGGGAACTTTTCCTATTCAATCTGCATATTTCATTCTCTGGAAATGAGCTGGAAAGGTCCCGCTGGTAGCGCTGGTGCTCAGGTCCCATCCCATCCCCTCCTAAGCACTGCACTGCATAGGCGGGTGCCTCCCGGGGGGGTCTGCTGCTCGCAGGCAAACGCTGAGCTCCGCATGGCAAACCTGAATGTTGCACTGTCTGCATCAGATAGGTGGTGTTGCTTTCATGAGCAGCCGCATGCTGATTTATGGCAACGTGCTATTTATTTATCAACATTTAGGCTGCGGATTTTTCAATTATCCTAATAGCACAAAGCCAACAAGTTGGTCGTGACGTTGCTCCTTTAAAGTCTCCCTTTGAACGCCTCTATAAATCAACTCCCCTTTGATGTGAAGTGGGAGATTTCATAACCGTGTGTTTACTTTTGGGTTTAAAAAAATAAGCTGAAGGGAAAATAAAAAAAAAAAGCAACAACCGAAAACAAAAAGCAAATAGCAGTTTGTATCTCATTAAAAATAGTTTCTAGCGCATTAAAAGCTATATTGTTTTAGGAAACGAGACCTAGAAAGAGTTGCAAAAGCAGTTGATCCTTTTAATGGCTGATTGTTGGCTGCAACCATTGCACTTGTCCTCAGGCACACGGGCACACGGCAGCGCTGCTGGTCTCAGCTGTGCCCCACAGCAATGGGGCTGAGCACATGGACAAGGGCTGAGCCCGGCTGTGTCTGCATGGAAATCACAGGCTTGCATTGCCCTCGTGGCACAGCTCCTTTGGTCGGAGGGATTTCCAAGCGCGGGGGATGCGAGGTTTGCGTCAGAAGGGTGGGTCGTCGGGAACAGGGTTTGTAAACATTGGGACTCTCTGGAGATGTGCAGTGAGATTCCTCCATCAAAGTGTGGGGTGGGTCCCACTCCCCCAGCCGCTCCGGGCTGGAGCCCCGCAGCACCTTCGCACTGCTTTTATCTTGCATTTACCCTCCTGCAAATGCATGCAACTCACTTACAGCCTTTAAATGAGGGCTCCTGGCCTCGGGGAGACTCAGCTGGCACACGCTGGATTCAAAGGGCTGACATCAGCAGCGGGCACATCCTCCTGCCTTGTCCTGGCTGTGCAGCACCAGGAGCACTGCTGTGCTGTGCTCGGGGGGACGCAGGGCCACGAGTAACAGCAGGGCTGCTGCTGGGGCTGCACGGTGGGGCTCAGACTGGGTGTGCATTTGTGGGACTCCGGAGCCGTCACAGGGGATGTTCCCCCACGCACAGCAGTGGGAAGCTGGAGACAGCTCGTGAGGGATGCTCGCTGCTGTAATCAAAGGATGATCCAATTTCTGGAGGTCTAATTTTGTTCAGATGGCTCCTGCTGTTACTTCAGACCATGTGGAACAGGAAAACCGCCTGCAGGAGGATGGCGTTTTCTCACACAACCCTGCAGCTGGCTCCACCTCTGTCACCCAGCATAGGGGCAGGCGTGCCCATGGGTGCGTGGTGCCCACTGGGTTGGGGTTTGTTCCACTTAGTTGTGCAAGTATTGTGTGTGTGGTTAGAGCTGGGACAAAGGGAATCACGGAATCACAGAATCACTAAGGTTGGAAAAGGCCTCTAAGATCACCAGGTCCAACCACCATCCTATCCCCACCATGCCCACCGACCACATCCCTAAATGGAAGCCCCAGGCCCTGCAGCAGCTGCACATCCCCTCCCTGTGCAGGTGCATGCTGGAGCGTGTTCTGCAGCCGTGCCCAAGCTCTTCAAGCGTGCTAGATTCACTCCCAAAGAAGTGAGGCTGCTGCTTGCTCTGTGGCAGAGCAGTTGGCATCCCGCAGTGCAGACAACCTGCTTTTTCTTTGCAGTCAGATTGATTGAACAAGGAATTGCTGTGGAGGTGTGCACATCAATCTGTGCATGCAGTTTTTCGTGTCTTTAATCAATCCCGCTGTTATGTGCCCACAACTCTCAGATGGCAAATTGCACCAAGCCCTACAGAGCACAAAGGTTACTGCATGAGAAACCCAACTGGTGCCACTTTGCTGGGCAGCCTGAGCTGGTGGGGGCACCCAGCCCATGGATGGGCATGCAGATCCTGTCCAACCTCACCATTCTGTGGCTGTGTGGTTCTGTGAGTCCTTCAACACATGCTTGCCATTGGTGTGGGCACATGGCTGGCTGGGCTTGTGACCCCCAACAATGTTTCACTGGGGGAACAGCAGGCTCAGATCTCCCCTGTGTCCCAGCAGCGCCATCCCACCCCATTTTTGTGAGTCTTGCCCACCCTGGGTCTGTGTGGGGAGCAAGTGGAGGTGGCATCAGCTGCTCACCTCTGTCCTCGTGCATTGGAGGGACAGGAGAAGGACCTCCCTGACTCCATCGCAGAGTTGTGGAAAAGATGATTGTCCTTGGTCAAGAAGGGATGGAAGTTTGGGGTCAGGGCTGTGTGCCACCCCAGCACAGCTCCCATCTGTTTATTGTTATTGCCAAGGGAAGCGTGTGCAATGCAGGAGTCCCTAAGACACTGTAGGATGCAAACCTGAGCGCTGGCCATGCTGCATTTAGTGTTTAACGAGGAAAGCGCAGCTCAGAATGCAAGAAGTGCTTTTTCTTTTTCAGATAAGAAGGCAGCACAGATGCTGGCTTGTGCCAGAATCACCCCAAGCTGCTGTGGCTCAGGGGAAAAAGTGAAAAAGGTCCTTCCTGCAGCTCTGTGACAGGCAATGACGTTTCTGCCATCAGGGATGCCATGCTGGGATCAGTGTCACGCAGCAGCAGTGGGGCTGCAGCACAGTGCCCATGTTGGGTTTGTCATAGCAGCGCAATGATAAATCACAGGATTTGGGTTGGGAAGGAGTCCTAGTGAAAGGATTTCTTGAAATCTTGCATTGTGATTGCACGATGTAATTGCAGGTACCGGCTTATCTCTAGTTTGCGTTTCCACATTGAGAAGTGCTCCCAGTTTGTAAAGGTGCGTTTTGCTGCACTGCTGCATTTTGCCTCTTTGCCACGGGGGGAAAAAACAGCAATCGCATGCATGGTGTCAACGCTTTGAAAATCCCCTCTGAACACTCGCCTGGCAACCCTCTGCAATGAAGATAGGGGGGGAAAAAAAGCACAAAAAGCAGAACGGAGAGGAGAGGGCTGCGTGCTGCGCCTCGCTTGGGCGCGCATCGCTTCCTCCATCTTACCCTCCTCCCAAAGATGGCTGTGGGGCCGCTCCGCGGGGCCGTGGGCTGCGCAGGATCCCCCCCCCGCTCCCCCCGGGGCCACCCATCCACCCCCCCCCCCCCCATCGCCGATCACCCACCGCGGCACACGGCCTCGCCGCACGCGCATGTATTCGCCGCCGCCTCCCCGAGCGGCCCCGCGGTCGGGATTCTCTGCAAAGAGAACCCACCCACGCTGCAGAGATGCGGTGCCGGGCTGGGCTCCAGCGGCTGTGCAGCGTTCACCGCGTTCCGGGCGCTGGGGGCTGCGGGGGCTCAGTGCCCGCTGACTGCTGCCGGCTGCCGGCGCTCCCGTCTCGCTGGTGACGTCTCCGTAAGGACCTGAGCGAGGGCTGCGGCGCGGGGTGTTCCAAAATGCCTGAAGCCAACGCTTTGTTGTCCGTGTCTTGGGGTTACATTAAGGTGGGTTGGATCCTGCCGGGTCCTCGGTGCCTGTTTTTGTGCTGTTTTCCTGAGGTAAAGCCCCTGGGAGGGAATGGGGCCGTTGGGATGGTTATTCCCACACGGTGTGTGTGTGCGGTGTGTGCGGTGCATGCGGCGTACGTGGATGCGAGTTGCTTCTCCCCTTTGGGAATTCACTTCTGTAGGGTGAAATGTTGCTGCAACCGAAGCATGCAATTAGCAAATGGAGAGCAGTGTATGGCTGCAGCTGGGAGAGCACTGCGTCTCTCTGCAGTGATGCAGGCAGAGCTGAGATTTGTGGCATCTTTGCTTTTCTCTTTGGAACACATGCAGCCGCATTGCAAAATGGAGCAAACTTATGTAATGGAGCTGAGAACAAAAGGAGGTGGAAATAGAATCCAGTACCAGATGTGGGTCTCTCAGAGAGGTTACCTGAGGCATCTCATTTCTGGCAGTGAAAATAATGTCTATCTGTGGAGGAAATTTGTGTTGCAGTTTTTGCGTACTGAGCAGAAGTAGGTAGCCGCGCTGGTGCTGTGGGGAATCTCAGTGAAGCTGAATGGCTCTGATTCCGTTTCATATCTCTCTGTAATTTTATTTTTCACCTCTTGCTTGTCCGTTTGCTTGCTGTGGAGTTGAAGCCGTGTGAAAGCATTCATAAAAATCCCATTCCTATGTTTGTGTTTCTCCCTCCCTCCAGTTCAAGAGGATGCTGAACCGCGAGCTGACGCACCTCTCCGAGATGAGCCGCTCCGGCAACCAGGTGTCCGAGTACATCTCCAACACCTTCCTGGGTAAGCAGTGCCTGGGCTCCGGCCCCTGGGGCAGCCCCTGCCTCTGCCTCCTTTTGAAGCCACATCTCAGCACACAGGAAGGCTTTGATTTTCTGCTTTCCAAAGGGAGATGGGGAGGAGAAGGATGCAGCGCTAGCCTGGCGCTCTGCACAGAGGGATTCCCTTTCCAGATGGAAAGATCTCTCTGGTTGGGCTGAACAGAGCTGCTGTCGGCCACGTTGTGCAATGTTTGCTTTTTGTGGTGACCTTATGTGAAGGACAAAGCCACCCGAGCCCAGCTGCACGCACTCATCTTTGCACCTTCTGCCTCATAAAACTGCATCCCCCCCCCTCAGAGCCAAGGGCTTGGACGGGCAAGGTCAACCCAGGAGTTTTATTACTCTGTGCTTACGTGCTCATTTTGCACTGGAAATCTGAGCCCACCTCAAAGATACGCACAGCATTTCGCGTGACATTCCTTTTGTAGGAGCTTCCAGGACGACCGACACGAACAAATTAAACATTTAAGTGTTCTGAGAAGCGTTTACTTCCTCTGTGTTTACAAAGCCCAACTTTACAAAAATTACAGTTTACTGTGGTTTCAAACAGTTCCCAAATAGGTGCTCGGTTGCTCTTAAGCAGCAGCTTGATGCTGGGGCCCCACTGAGCACGCATTTCCATTGGCCTGAACACTGTGCCCACATCCTCAGGGAGCTCACGCCCCACAGTCATCATGGCCCAGAATGCCTTCCCTCTATGACACACCATTATTTCCATTAAGGGATTTTAAAGTGATTTCAGTAGCCAGTTGCAACTGGAGCTGCCACGTGCATTTAGGGCTCATCACATCATGAATAATCCATGTAAGAGTCTGGAGCTGCTTTGTAGGAATCCACTGCTCTTCTCCTGTCGCTCAGCTTAATGGCGACATCCAGAGCAGAAACAAATACAGGGAAGAAGAGCAGGGCAGCCTCACTGCCAGCAGCAGGGCACTTCTGAGTGCACCGCTGCAGAAATACCCAGTGCAGCCTGAGGCTGGACTTGATATCACACCCATACAGCACGTGTACGCCCATTCTGGTGGGGTCATTGGAAAGAAATTATCAGAGCTTTCAAATGGATCCTAAAGCTCTTTTAGGAAGTTGTGCTGTCACTTTTTTATGAGTTTGCTTTTCTATTTTTCCCTTAAAACGTGGTTTAAAAATGAAAGGAATGCACGGTGTAGAAGAGGTTGGACAAAAAAAGGAGAAATCATAGAATCATAGTATGGCTTGGGTTGGAAGAGAACTTGGAAATGCATCCAAGCAGCATTTGTGAAATGAGGACAGCTCATGGATTCTAAAACCAAATGGCATATCTGTGTTCAGTCGCTTGGCTTCATTAAATGAGCTGAGGCTGGCAGCAGTGGGGCAGCCCCAGCGCCGTCACCTGGCCAAGGGTGTGAGAGGTTGGGTTTGTCACTGGGCCCTGCCATGGGCATGGGCAGGAGCTCGGCCTCTGCAGAGCAGTGCCTCGGGCACAGAAATCCACATGTGCCCTTTGATGGGCCATGAACGTGACCTGCTAACTGGGAGGCATTATGGAAACACTAATTAAAGGTTTAAGGGTAATTACCCTATTTTCCTAAGTGTTATTTTGCACTGAGCACTGAATAACAATATAGAGTATAGCTCTATCTTTCTCTAAGGATTTTCCCTAGTCTGTACTCCTCAGATTCTCCCCTGCACTGTTCATAAGGATGTTGTATACATCAAAAGGATTCTTTTTGGGTTTCACAAAGTTCCAGGGAAGGGCCAGCTTGGAAGTTAGGAGAAATCTGTTCACCCAAAGGGCGCCCAGCACCACACAGCTGCCCAGGGGTGGGGGGTCAGCATCCCTGGGGGTGTGCAGAGCAGTGGGGATGTGGCACTGAGGGATGTGGGCAGTGGGCATGGGGTGGGCTGGGGGTGGAGGAGGGCTTTTCAACCTTAATGATGCTGTGATGCTATGATTCTGTATTAATGATCAAAGTAAGGGTTGATGTGAGGGGCAGCGCAGAGTGCTCACGCAGTGTTCCTGTAAATGATGCTGATTTCTTTCACCTTTCTTCATTGCAGACAAGCAGAATGATGTGGAGATTCCTTCTCCCACGCAGAAAGACAGAGAGAAGAAGAAAAAGCAGCAGCTCATGACCCAGATCAGCGGAGTGAAAAAATTAATGCATAGTTCAAGCTTAAATAATACCAGCATCTCACGATTTGGTGTGAAAACAGAAAAGGAAGACCATCTGGCCAAGGTACATCAGATTGATATGGGTTGTGGAGAATTGGTGTGATCTTGGAGCATGTGGCCTCCTCGTACAGGTGCTCTGACATCAGCACTTCCACAGCTGCCCTGTGTTCCTGTACTGCAGTAATCACTGGTGCTTATGAACTGGCTTGACTACCGCAGACAGGAAAACAAAACGCTTTGGTGGGAGGGAAACATGCAGACATGTCTCAAGAAACATTTTAACTGTTCTCTTTGTGTCTTTTCCAAAGGAGCTGGAAGATCTGAATAAGTGGGGTCTGAACATATTTAATGTTGCCAGGTATTCCCACAACAGGCCGCTCACCTGCATCATGTACGCCATATTTCAGGTGCGTGGTTTTCTGTCCTTTCACAGCACTGGTTTAATACCTGGTGGCTCCCTGTTACACCACCAGGTGCACTGTGACATCCCTGTGTACAGGCAGTTGTGGATGCCCCATCCCTGGAGGCATCCAAGGCCGGGCGGGATGTGGCTCTGGGCAGCCTGGGCTGCTGGTTGGTGACCTGCACACAGCAGGGGGTTGGAACCAGATGAGCGTTGTGCTCCTCTTCAACCCAGGCCATGCTATGATTCTATGATTCTAAGATACTTTTGATATCTCTTATGCAGGAGCGAGATCTACTGAAGACATTCAAGATCTCATCAGACACCTTTGTGACGTACATGATGACATTGGAAGACCACTACCATTCGGACGTGGCGTACCACAACAGCCTGCATGCTGCTGATGTTGCCCAGTCCACCCACGTTCTCCTCTCCACCCCTGCACTGGATGTGAGTACTGCTTTGAGCTGAGCTCTGTGCCCAGCCATCTGTAATCTCTATTTCATCTTAAGGAGCGCGTGCTTGCATGTCAGCCTCTCTTCTGAGCAAATGGCTTACTTATACAAGCCTCGTCCTCCTAAAAGTGATTCAAAAAGCAGAGAGGGTTTGCTTCTGTAATTGGGCACCCCAAAGTGGTGATGGGCTTCTCTCACAGATCCCCATTTCCTCCATAGGCTGTCTTCACCGACTTGGAAATCCTCGCCGCTATTTTTGCAGCCGCGATTCACGACGTGGATCACCCCGGTGTCTCCAACCAGTTTCTGATTAACACAAGTGAGTTTTGTTTCAAATACAATCACGGCTTCATCTGCAAACTCAGAGTACGTTTTCCATTACAGCAGGGGCCAAACTGTGACTTTCAGACCACGGTGCTTTCTCAAAGCACTGTGCAGCAAATGAGTTCTATGTTTTGAAGTGGAGCGACAGTATAAGTCGAATTCCTATCGAAACAAAGGAAGCTATTGTAGTATAATTTGCAAAGCGGCCTTGAGTCTTGTGATTATCACTTGATAAGGCATAATAAATCTTCCAAATTTCGTCATTAACAGAAGATTGGCGATGCTGTTGCTATTGACAACAATAGAGCTAAATATTGTGGTTCATGTTGTATTCTGCAACAGGCTAAGCATGTGTTTTGGTTCCAAAGGATGGGCATTGTTCTTTTTTGGAAAGCGCGTGTGCAGGATCCATGCTTTCTGCTGTCAGTGCTTCCAGAGCCTGTAACTAAGTCAGCTGGATGCTGTTTGGCTCACTAGGGCTAAGCAAAGGGCTGTTGGTGTTCTGTACACATGTGGTCAGAGCTACATGCTCTTGGACTATATGATACAAAAAAGGCAACTTCTCTGTTTCTTCGCAGACAAACATCGCAGCGCCCAGCGCTCGCTGTGGAGTCCCACACTGCATGCAAACTGAGTCCATGTTTGTGCTGTTTTGGCAGATTCCGAGCTGGCGCTGATGTACAACGACGAGTCCGTCCTGGAGAACCACCACCTGGCAGTGGGCTTCAAACTGCTGCAGGAGGAGCACTGCGACATCTTCCAGAACCTGACCAAGAAGCAGCGGCAGACGCTCAGGAAGATGGTGATCGACATGGTAGGGCCCTGGCACACTGCTGCTCTTCGCATACAGGCTTCCCTGCCCGGCCGCCCTCACTGAGGTTGTGTTTTCTCTTCCATGAAGGTATTGGCAACGGATATGTCCAAGCACATGAGCCTGCTGGCAGATCTGAAGACGATGGTGGAAACTAAGAAGGTGACCAGTTCAGGAGTGCTCCTGCTAGACAACTACACCGACAGGATACAGGTACAGCAGAGTTCCTGCAGGACGGAAGCACCTTGCCTGTCTTGTTCAGTACCAAGGAAACCACGTTCCTGTTCTTGCTGTTGCTTCCAGATGATCTAGATATAGCAAAGAGGCTGACCCAGATGTCAGCCATCATGCAGGAGCTGTAGGCCTCCTGATTTCATGTGCTCTGCACCACAAACACCACAATAGTTGTGTGTGTATGGGGGGAGGGGAGGGTCTCATGTCCTTTTGGTGGAAGGAATTAGCTGTTTAACTCTTGGAGCAGGCAGCTGCAAGCATGCTTGTGCCTCTGAGGTTGATCTGTTCGGCTGAGTATTTGAGGGCTTGTGAATTTCCCTGCTGCTTTTTCTCCTTTCTTTGTCCTAACAAAGAGGTATAGCATGATTGCAGGACCTCAGTTTTAACTCCATAGCTGAAGCAGCTCTTAAGCTGGGTTGAAGCTAATGATGCACACTGCTCTCTCCAGCATCTAATCCTCACCTTACAGGCATGACAAGGCAGCTCTGGGAGGGGTTATATGCTTCACATGTAGGACGAGGTACACTGCTGTCTCCCCACTTTGCTGGCCAGCTTAGAACAAGAAAACCCTCTCACATTTCTGTTGACATTAGAGCAGCTCCCTGCACCGAGTCCCCGTGGCCGCAGTTAGTCAGGCACCCGGCTGTGTGCGTGAAAGGGATGTTACTCATTGACTAAAGCAGCAGCATTTAACCATGTCAGAGCCTGAAAATACCCTTTGAATGGCGGGAAGCACCTGCATTCAAAAACAAACCTCTGTGATGTCACCAGCGTTGCTGCTGCTGCACCCGGTGTAAGTTCTGAGACATCTGGAACACGCAGAGCGCGCTGCACCGCTGCAGCTGCAGGGCCCATGCACAGGGATCGTAGGGTGCTAACATTTCTGTACCAAATTGCATAATCAAAGAGCCTCGTGGTTAAATGTTCTGAATTGAGCAAGCAGATACAGCTTGAAACCGTCCTCTTTTTCCATTGGATTTTATGAGTTTTCTGATGAATGTAATTGCAGGTTCTCCGAAACATGGTACATTGTGCAGACTTGAGTAATCCCACAAAGTCCCTGGAGCTGTACCGGCAGTGGACGGACAGAATCATGGAAGAGTTCTTCCAGCAGGGAGACAAAGAGAGGGAAAGGGGAATGGAAATCAGCCCCATGTGTGACAAACACACAGCGTCGGTGGAAAAATCACAGGTAATTGGCCCGGAGCCACACGGCGGTATTGCCTCAGACACAAAGCTCATCTGCTCTCTCTAGCACAACTAGGCAAAGGGCCAGCTGTTCTGAGGGCTGGTTCTGATTGACACCCAGCTGTGCCTGAAGGTCCTACAGCCCTGCAGCCAGGCTGTGGGCTCCCTTCTCACTCCTTGGCGTCCCCACACTCCCCACACACATGCTTATCTTGCCCTGTTTGTGTCCCAGTTTCCAGAGTGAGCTGTTCTCCTTTTGTTCCCGGGGCTGGAGGAGTGTGATCCTGATCTGTTTGGGTCTCTTACGTCTTCACACCCCACAGCCTCCTTCCTGGCTCTTAATTAGCACCTCCTAATCCTACTGGTACTGCACCCCACATTAGAAATGGCAATGCCTGTCCCTCTGATGGCAGAGATACAAGCAGCCCCAAGGGGGGCTTCACCCAGGACTCCAACAGGGCCCAAATTTTGGTTGCTTTTGGCCTCATGTGGAATGATTTTGCAGTGCATGAATTGGCCAGCTCAGCTCAGTGGAGCCTCTGTATTGTGAAGTCCAAGTGTAGATATTTCAATCAGTGCAGGTCTTAAAAAGAACTTGGGTTTTTCTTGTATTTTGAGATCACCTGTTTCATCGCTGGTTCTGATTCATATGATGATTTCAAAGTCAACTTAGATCTGACCTGCAGAGCACAGGCCACAGTGTTTCACCTGGTTAGGCAGAAACAAAGCCGGAGGTTTACGTTGGCCAGAACGTACTCCAGTCTTCATATAATGCTGTCCCAGTTGTTGTTTTGGAAGGACTTGAGCAAGCCATCATCAAGGTTTTTCAGTTTGAATAAGTAACAAAATCGATGATAATTATTTCCAAATGTCCTGTTGGGCTAAGCCAGGCAGTTTCAAAACTATTCACTGGACCGCATGGTGATTTTGTTGGAAAAATCTGTCTTATTTGTTAACCTAACAAGAAATGAATCCTTCAGCCAGGCTTGGCAAGCAAATGCCCATGTGCTCCGTGTGTGAGCTCCAGTTAATTCTGTGGTTCACATACATGCTTCACAGAGGTTTCAAAATGGCATTTTTGCTTTGCAAAAGGAGTTGCACGAAATGGCCACTACCGAAATACCAACGAATGCAAAGGAGAGGGGGAAGCGGCGTTTCCATCCCGGGGTGAAACAGAGAACCCAAGGGCAGACAGCGTGCGAGTGTGGCCGAGCTCTGGTGTTCCTCTTTACATCAGAACACTTTAGGATCGGGCTGGAAGCTGCTCTGCCATCGGAGCTGTTTGTGCAAGGAAACGACAGCGCTGTGTGAGGCGGTCAGTGCCGAGCTGTGCTCCCCCAGGCCGTGCCGGGTGGCCATCGGCTCACCGGTTGGGATCTTTGTCACTCTAAAAGTGCTCCGGATCTCCTGTGCTGCAGGAAATTTTCATCACCTTTTCGTTTAAGCTGCCTTCCCAGTATGTTACAATTGAATGTTAATGGTTCTATTGACATCCTGTTGTGTCTGAAGGAGGCATGTGCGATTTCCAAAGCAAACATCTGCGCGTTGAGCCTGGCCCCTCTGAGAGCCATTTTCCTGCTGCGCTGAAACGTCGTCCAGCAGTGAGGAGAGAAGTGACACACTCTGCCAAGACGGAAGAATTTCAATCCTCTTTATGGCCATTCAGTTTTCTCCATCCTGGACGTACGTCCTCTTACTCAGACAATTGAAACATGATTGAGCTCAGTGCCTACGCGCCTGCGAGCGGATGGGCTGACGGCCGCACCGCTTCCACCCCGGCACGTCACCACTGGGGGCTTGGGCAGCCCGCCTGGATACAGGAGCAGAACTTGGTGGGCTGCCTCCCCTTCTTCCTGCGCTCTTTCCAAAATGAAGGGATAGGAAAGGAAATCTTGACCAGGCTGGACCGACCAATGCTCATTAGGTGTCATTTCTGCAGGGACTTTGGGGCTACTCCGCCTTCAGAGCGGTAACTTGCCCTGTCCCCTGCACAGCAGTGGTTGATTCACTGGGCAGGAGGAGGCACCCACAGGGACATTCAGAATCTTTCAGCCAGGGACAGGTGCGGCAGCTTCATCTTGGAGTTCCAGGTGCCTCCTGCTTTCAGTCTACCTTTCACACAGGGCTTGGTTCTGGGCAAGCGTTGATCTGATCAGCACTGATCAGATTCCCCTCAGCTTCTCCTCCCCATGCGCACAGCCCCGGGGCTCTCAGCCTGTCCCCATCAGGAAGTGCTTCAGGCCTCCACCATCTCTGCACGTTCCACTGGGCTCTCCAGCAGTTCCCTGTCTGGCCTGAACTGGACAGCCCCACACTGGGCACAGTGCTCCAGCTGTGCCTCCCCAGTGCAGAGCAGAAGGTAGGAGCACCTCCCACACCTGCTAACTACACTTTGGGCAATGCACCCCCAATGCCAGTGGTCCTCTTGGCCAACTGTTGGCCAACTGTTGGTCAACCAGGATCCGCAGGTCCTTCTCTGCAGAGCTCCTTTCCAGCAGTTCGGCCTCTGACCTACCCTGATGCATGCTCTTTTTCCTCCCCAGGTGTAGCACTCCTGCTGTTCAGATCTTGCACCTAGGCAGGCGTTCAGCCCGTAAACTCATGCATTAATATCATTTTAACTTTTCAGACAGCCGTCTCAGTGCATTTCCCTTCCCTAAGCGTGTTCCCATGTTTTGCAGGTCGGGTTTATCGACTACATCGTGCACCCGCTGTGGGAGACATGGGCTGACCTGGTGCAGCCGGACGCACAGGACATCCTGGACACTCTGGAGGACAACAGGAACTGGTACCAGAGCATGATCCCACAGAGCCCCTCACCCCCACTGGAGGAGCGGGGCCAGGACTGCCCCGGCCTGATGGAGAAGTTCCAGTTCGAGCTGACCTTGGAGGAGGAGGATTCGGACGGGCCCGAGAGGGAAGGCGAGAGCGTCGGCTACTTCCACAGCACGAAGATGCTGTGCACGGGCAGCCCGGGGCAGGAGGACGTGCAGCGGGAGGCGAACATAGAAATTGTGACAGAGGACACGTCTCCCGTTGACACATAATGCCCTGCGCCTGTGTAAGTGGATTGGAAACGCTTAACGAGCACGCAAGCGGTCTGGTGGGACTCGCCTGCAGCCTGGGCCTTGGGCCTGTGCCTGACATTGGCTGACGGATCTCCGGGTCCGTGGGGCCGTCGGGGCTCCGTGCTGAACAATGGCTCAGGAAACGCCGTGAGTGATGCTGGGGTGGCCGCGTGAGCTGCGGGCGCCGCGTGGCCTGGGGCTGCGGGCGCCAACACCGAGCGGCCCAGCGCGCGGCGGAGAGATTGCGCACTGTTCGCTCCGGGACTCCAACCCGCCGGGCTGATAGAAACTACTGATCCATAACTCTGCGTGTAGAACCTGCCCGCCCCACCGCCTGTCTGCAGACCTGTGTGCCTTCTTTGTAAACGCCCTCATGTCTTTTCGAGATCTGTTCGATACACGGAGTTCAGTGTGAGCAGCGGCACCGAGTGTTCGGGAACCGACGGATCCTTTTTGATTCTTCCTGTTACAAGAAGCAGTCTTCCTTTTTCCGCGGGCAATACCTGTCACTTTATTGCGGTTAATCACTTTTCCAGGCTAAGAGAAGGGATTCCCTCTGTTTTTGCATTACGGCACTTTTAATTAGTCTTCTGAAGGCCCCCCTCGTTGCCTGCCCCTCTGCCCGGGGTGGCTGCGGCGCAGTGGCACGCAAACACCTTCGTGTTCCACCTTCCCTTCGTTTGGCCCACCGTCCTCCTCCTCCCGCACTGCCTTGAGCTCTAACACCTCCATTACTGTTTATAACAGTGTATTTATTACGTAATGTATATACTGTAATGTTTTGTAAGTTATTAATTTATATGAATTAGCATTGCCTGTCGGCGGCGATGTTAATTGTGTAGAAGACTCGGAATAAGAGTTGCCTTTTATTTTTCCTTTTTTTGTTTTTGTTTTTGTTTTCTCGTAACCTTTTGTATTGCATAAAGTACAAAACCTGAACACAGCTGAAGAGACATACGCAACCCAGGGGACGGGGCGGAGGTGGCCGCGTCCTGCCCCAGCCTCCCGACAACCCAATGTGAACCTCTATGACAAAAATGTGAACTGATGTAATAATTGTGCTGTGAAACTCCTCCTGACGACGCCGTTGGGCACGGCGAGCGGTGCCACTCGGTTTGTAACATACGTTTTGAGCTTCTGGTCCAACTCGTGACAACTAGTTAATGACAATAGCACAGTTGTGCATGATCAATGGGTGTGTATGTCTGTCGAACACTGCATTGTTCCAGGTGGTTATTTTCTTGTTTTCAAAAGTTTCACAACAACGTATGTTATAGTATTATATATTGTGTTCAGATGCATTCTTAAGAGATTTTTATATGAAGTGAATAAATGAATGCATGACCCTGTCCCAGGGCTGCTCACAGCGTTGTTTGTTCAGTGAGGGCTGGACTGCAGGTATGGCACGGGGAGGTTGGGACACAGCATAGGGCGGCCAGCACGTGGCACGGGATGGCTGGGATGTGGAACAGGGTGTCTGAAACATGGCACGGGGTGGCTGGGATGTGGCACAGGCAGAGGGGATGCCCATGGGATGGCTGCTCCCCGCTCAGTGCTGTCCCTGCCCAGCGGCAGCGGCGCCAGGAAGGCGCTGCAGACAGGAAGGCGATGCCGCAGCGCACCGCAGCCCGGCGGTGGCTTTCATGTCCCGGCCGTACCCAACGCAATTGAAACAACCAGCGGTCTTCCAGGAACAACACGCCCTGCTGCTGCGTGGGGCCGGGCCGGCAGCGGGCGGCGGAGCTGAGCGCAGGGCCACATCCTGTCCCCGCATCCCTGCAGCCGTGCCCCGTGCTGTGGCTGTGCCCCCCAGGCACCACCGCTGCTGCTGCTGAGACCGATTTTTCCTTTCTGCCCGATTTATCCCCTGCCTTCGATGAGCCCAGCGAAGCTCCAAACCCACAGCTGAAGGAACACGAAGCAGCGCTGGGGGAGGGAGGGCTGCGGTGCGTTCTGTGCTGCCTCTCTCTTCCTCAACCCTCCCAGGTTTATTTTGTCCCTTCCCACTGACCCACTTCTGGCAGTGGCGTCACCACGAGCGCAGCGAGCGCAGCCGCCATGCTCTGTGCTGCAGCAGCAGCATCCTTCCCTGCTCTGCTCCAGCAGCACTGCCACAGATCCAACCCCAGACCTCAGCTAGGGGGATTCCCAGCCAGGTGATGGCACTCTGCATCCTCTCCTCAAGGATGAGGCCATGTGTTGGCTACACGCTGCTGGCCCCAGGTTCCTGCTAGCCCCTGCAGCTGTATGGCTTCCTTCGGCATCAGGCATGCAGCAGATGCACAGTGTTGGCTGCTTCCAAGGGTGGCATGCAGGGATGGTGCTCTGCCTGCTCCCAGCTGTACCCTGGGATGCAGGAATGCATGCAATTGGCTGTGTGACCATGGTGTGCAGCTGTCGTGTGCAACTGTGCAAGCAGGGAATGCAGCTCAGGCTGGAGATGGGGTTGTGGTTGGGTGCGCAGCACAGTCCCTGTTTCAGCAGAACAGCTTTGAGGAAGCTTTTGAAGAAGCTGTTCTTCTGCTGAGCAGCTGTACATTTCTCACCTGGACAGTGCAGCACAGTGCTGCTCACTGCATGGCAGGGCACAGGGATGCAGGTCCCATGGCATTGGGCTGGCTGGAGCTGTGCACCAGCATTAGGAGCACCCCCAAAAATGTGCCTTTATTGCAGAGCTGCTCAGCTCCTGGCAGCACTTTGGGTGCAACACGCCATGTTTTGGGCACGTCCTGCCACATCTCAGCATGTAACGCATCTACAGTTCGGGTCTGCTCTGAGGGGCAGGGAAGGGGTCACCAATTTTGCTCGGGTCCCATTTTTGCAAAGCATGGGCCGTGTCACCCTGGGGCTCCCCGTGCTGTGTTTCCCCTTCCACGCAGCAGCCGAAGCTCAGCCTCCTCTGTGCACACAGCCGTGCACAGCTGTACAGCTCCATCTGCCGAGCCCAAACCGCTGCACGGCGCCGCGCACACAGCAGGGATGTGCACAAAGGGGCACGTGCCACCAGGACAGGCAGCAGGGATCTGTGCAATGGGAGCCAGCGCTGCTGGAGCCGCACGCAGCTGGATGCCTGTGCAGCTAAAGCCATGCACAGCTGGATCCTGGCTGGCTGCAGCCTGAGTACAGCCAGGGCCGTGCACAGCTGGATCCTCACACAGCTGGATCCTCACACAGCTGGAGGCAGTGGCTCTAGGCTTCCTGGATCCCCAGGGTGCTCGCTTTGGGACCCATTTGATTTTCTTCCTATTGCACTGCCATTTCCCTGCATGGCTCTGTCTGCTCCCTGCAGGGCTCCACCACAGCTGGTGGCCTTGTTCTGCCTGTGGCAGTGTGCATGGAGCACCCAGGCAGTGCCATCCGACCCAGGACACGATCACCCGCAGCACTTACAGGCTGCCACCTCGCCCTGCATCACCAAACGGGACCTGCCTGCAGCTCTCTGCCACCTCTAACACGTGCCCTTAAGCTGGCAGCACACACCAGGAGCTGCAAGAAGATTCCCAACATTATTCAAAGAAAGCTTTTTTTTTTTCCCCCATATCCTCATTCTTCAGCCAAAAAAAACAAGCAAACAGCCCAGGGCAGGGAGGGCACTGCTGGGTCTGCCCTGGGCGCCGGTAGCACTGCTCACAGCTTCAAAGTAGCAGCATCTCAGCACACACTGTTCCCTTGGAACGCCCACAGCCTGCACTGCTCCCGTGGCTTCTCAAGCTGAAACCCAGCCCCTTAAGTGCTGCTGAGCCCCTGCTGCCCACCCTAACACAGAGCACTGGGGCCAGCAATGAACAAGGTGGGATCTGAGGGTTCTTGTGTGTCTCAGCCCCATCCCACCCCAAACATGCTGTAAGGGTCGATGCTCTCTGTGATACAGCCCTCAAATGGGCCAGCAGCCTTTGGGAGCACAGGTGGGCAGCACTGCTCACAACCCCCAGCATTCCCTTTGCATGGGGAATTTTTTAGCATTTCTTCTTCCTAATAAAAACCCAGAGCATGGGACCACAGCTGTGCCCAGTTGAGGCACGGGGCAGTATTTAGGATGAAGAGCTGCAGCTGTGCAGCTTGGCCCCGCTTATCAGAGGATTGCTGAGCTGTTGCACTGCAGGGAGGAAGAGGAGGTGGGAGTGGGAGAAGGTGAATGCTGTGATGTGCTGTGTGGCTGCTCTGCAGTGTGCACTCGTTGCTCTGTTTGGGCCTGGCAGTGGCACAGCTGGGGTTGGCTCCCTGCTGCTCCCTTTGCTCAGTGGGACGGAAGGGGCCCTGCGGCTCTTTGTGCATGGGGAGAGTGGGGATGGATGGAGTGAAGCTGACGGAGCAGAAGGGAGCAGTGCTTGCTGTGAGGGGCCAGCAGGGAGGGAGCAGGGAGCTGTGGAATCACTGAGGTTGGAAAAAGCCTCTGAGGTGACCGAGTCCAGCCCTGTGTGACAGTGGGGGCTCCCCTGGGACTGCTGGGGGGATTCAGCCTCTCCTTGTTTTGCTCCCACCGGAGAACTGCCCCAGCTTGTTGGCACTGTGATGTCTTGTTGTGATTTGGTAATGGGACAGCCAGGACAGGCCTGTGTGTCTGTCATCATCTTACTGAGGATGCCTTAATGCTGGGATTTGCAGGGTTGTGCTCTTGGCAGGATGAGGCTGATGGATTTGGGCTTTATTTAGCAAATCCCTCAGCCGGCGCTGGGGGCACCTTGCGGTGATGTGCTGGTGTGAGGCTCTGATTCACCCACTGCCTCCAGCCTCATCCTAGGGCAGCTGCAGCTCTGTGTGTGCTCACATGCAGCCCATAGGCGTGCACCCCCAGAGATGGGCCTTGTGGGGGCTGGCTGTGCATCTAAAGTCACTGAGATTGCAAAAGCCTTCCGAGATCCCCCAGCCCACCCCCTCTGCCTGTGTCTCTCAGTGCCACATTCCTATGGCTCTCAGGCACCCCCAGGGATGGTGACGCACCTCCCCCCCAGTCAGTGCCAGTGCTGACAGCTCTGCGGGGGCAACCATGGCTGCACCCACCATTGTTCAATAGCATTATGGCAAAGATGCTGCAGCTGTTGGTCTCCAAGCTTCTGAGCAGTGAGGGCAGAACCTAAAGAGGGGAGATGTGGGCAGAAGGTGGGTGAGCTCCCTGAGCAGGTGATGCTGGGAGGTGAGAGCTGGGGGGGCGGCTGCTGCTGCTGGCACTGTGTTCCCCTCCGTTG